TATAAGTAGATTTTACCTAGGGCGCCAGTCTTTTAGGGACAATAAAATACCATAAAAATTTTAAAATAAATAAAAAATTAGAACTCAATTATTTGCCGGGAGAACTAGTACACCAAATAGTAAAAAAAAGGAGAAGGTTCAATTTTTTAATAAACAGAGTTAATTTATTCAATTTTAAAACATATGATTTATTCTTACCAAAATTCGGGAATTAACAATCTATAAAGGGAATGGTGACCAATAACAAATCATTAAATGAATTAAGGGTAAATACAAAGAAAAGGGAAAAAAAGGTAACCTCAAAATAATTAATTTTAACTCTCTCTCGGCTCAAACAATCGGAAATTACAAATAACTCAACTGATCTTAATTTTCAATAACAAATTCATCAAATGGTAACCAGCGATAGAGTAGGGGAATATTCAAATAAAAAGGAAAATTCTACCGAAACATGAGACCAACAGGCTAAGTCCGGAGAATTGACGCTAAAAATGACCAAACAATATCAACCACGGGGCACTAGGCCACCAGACTAAACCACCGTCAACCGATATTGTCTGACTTTGCAATAAATGAAGGAAAACGATAAACTAACCAACCCCACTCAATCACTAGATAACCTTGAAATTAAATGGAGATAATTATCGGAGAATGATCCGCAGGTAACAAAAGAAAACTACACAGAGGCAAGAGTCCTACCTTCAATACTGCACAAAACAATTGTCGTTGTATTCAATATTTTTCGCACACTAATAACCACTAATCTAGTGCAGGTCCGCACCATGCGAGTCGTCAGGAGAAAGTGTCGATCTTGCGATAGATTCTTGGATGTCAGCTTCCTTTCTCCCACTTTAATGTCATCTGCTCCGTCAGTGACGTAGTAAGTGATGGTAACCTCAGGTCCCAGGGAAACTGAAATTAGAAGCATTTTAACAGAAGTAACTTCGTAATTTTTCCCTTTTGGCAGCAATACAGCAAAAATCCAAATATATTTAGGCGAGTTTGCAGAACAATGATATATCCAGAGAGAATCGGTAAAAAGTTGAAAATTGACTCCGTCTCATAGTCGTAGTTAGGTAAACAGGATCCCCGGCACTTATCAAATTTGTAAAAGGCTGCTTGGGCGGCAAATTCAAAAATCCTTAGGCTTCTTTGGTTTTCATCCACGGTCACCAACACAGAAGAACATCCTTTTATAAAAGTAGTGACAAATTTCCGAGCGGCAGGAAATTAGTGGTGAAATAAAAACAAAGTTTACGAAATTAATAAAGAAAAGAAAAATTAATATTTTATTAACCGATTGTTGAGCTTTCGGCGACCCGCATGGTGATTAAAGTGATAAAAATAAAATTAATTTTTAATCTAAATTGTACAACGTTACATTGCATATCCGTAATAAAACTAACATATTGACTTTTGCATCGACTTTATAAAACATCGCGTGTTATATATCGGGATTTTGTAAACTCTTGTACGCGGTAGTTATTTAGCCCATTGATTGAAGTCGGGAATCTTCAGTTCAAAATAATTAACCAATATTAGAGCGCCAGTCGACTGAAGGTCGACATATTTATAAAAATATTAATAAATTGATGAAAATGATTCTACCCGTTGAACAAGAGTAACAGGAAGGGGGGTGAAATGGGTGAACCCAATAAAATTGAGCGTTGTCGACTATCAAGATTTAATGAATAGAAAATACTTACAATACAGATAATTACAGTCAACGTCTACCCCGATCTTCTATAATTAATAGTCGACGAGGATAAATTTTGTAATATTTAGAACACAATAATTTTCTTGTTTCAAAATTAATGAATTCCTAAAAGTAGGGTTGAAAAAGGGTCTAAATTTTAACTCGGTAAGTTGAAAAAGAAATTTAAAATTTTTTTATTTTTATGCAAAATGTTTATTTTTTCTGCAATTTGTAAGAATTATTAGAAAAATCTAGAAAATAACACAAGATTGTGTTAAATTCCATCAATTTAAGACCAAGAAACACGTTATTTGACCATTTTTATTGATTTGGACATATAAATGTTCTAACATTCCTAGTGATATCTCGAAATCCAATTTTGGTTTTCTATGTTATTGCGTTAAATTAATAGTAAGATTTCAATGCTCATGCGTAAATTGAAAAAATTTATAACAATTTTTCGAAATTAAGAGTGAAGGAAAACATTTTACACAAAAAGCAGAGATTTTCCAATTCAGTCTTCAAACTTATTAAATTATGATAATTATTATAAAATGCAATAAAATTTCTATAGATATATTTATTATCAACCAAAAATTCAATAAATTTTAAAATATATTTTTTTAATTTTCTACCATTTTTAAATAAATTTGACATGACTAAAAGAGAAATATGTTTGGGTATAGTCCACGTGCTAACCATTTCTGTGCATTATGACTGTTGTGTATACAGACTACAGTGATGTATAGTGATGTATATGTAGAAAAAATGAAAAATACAGGTAATCGCTTATATGTTGTCCTTCTGATTAACACCGGAACATTTAAACTGAAGAACATATGAGTAGTTTTTTTATTGTTTATACTCCTGCCCTATTGGCCTTACGCACTTCGACAAGAGTCCCCGAAAAATACTTTTTGGATTAAGCATAACCATTCTACTTAGAAATTTTCTATATATTAACCTAATTTGCGTCTACAGACGACTTTATTAGGAGTACTCGCATTCGCCTGGACTACCCGTTAAAGGGTTTTCTCGACAGAGAAGAGGGAAACTGTAGAAAACCTCTCCTGAGTACAACTGGTTTATCGACAGTCGAGTTCTAATGGTGTGTACCGGACAATAATCGACGGTGCACATCATTATACCTCGACGTCAAACCTCCCGCTCAGATTGTCTCACGTGCCGGAAAAATACTAAGCCAAAAGGGCGCGAACCAAGGGTACTTACCCTTGGTCCTTAAACGACCGCCAAGCGAGGCATCTATCCGACTGAGCTAATCTGTCGGTACATATAAGTAGTTACTTGTATATAACTTTTTAAATTATATAAATGTTACAAATTTTATGTACCTATGCAATTTTATATTCAGATTTTTTTGCACTCTAGCACCGAATATTTTTAATTCCCCTATCAAATGTAATTTACTACATACCGCCATGTAAAATATTGAAATTACATTTAAGCCTACTATCATATATGCGTATTTAAAGCTAGGGTTTTAATCACTTATATCATTGCACTTTTTTACAATGGTTTCATTACTTTAACAATATTTAAATGTCATTAACTCTTTATGTACAACCTTATTAATGTCTATATTTAGGAAACGTTTACACTTGATTCAATACAAATTGCGAAAATGTCACAAAAATAAATTATAAAACGAGTTATATTAAATCAAGAATTTTTAAATCACATTTAGTATTTAATTATTAAAATCATCATTATGTATACAAAATTGATATATTTATATAGTACTAGGGAGTCTCCGTCCCCCTGCGCGCTTTGCGCGCCAACCCCTTATCTCTATTTCTTATATTTATTTTAATTTTCATAAATTTCAAATCATGTTTTCTTAATATGAATGCATCATAATAAGTTATAATAAATGATAAATTTTAACGTAAAGGTCTTTACCTTTAGAAGGGGGTCTCTTTATTGACGTATAGGTTAAAAAATATGACAGATTTGACGTAAATGTTTACCTAGGGTAACGACCCTTTACAAAGTATTTTGGGTCTTCTTTTTGACCTGTAGGATAAAAAATAAGTCAAAATTGACGTATATTTTGACCTGGAGTTACCTTAAATATACTACAGGGGGCTCTTAGAACTTTCTGAATCAGCGACGACGAAATGATTTTATATTATAGGTGTAAATAAATATACTTTTAAATATACTATAACCATTTGGGGCCAACTTCAGGGCACTGAATTATATATGGGGGACATTGCACGTCAACAAGTACAGACCTAGAAGCAGAAAACTGGACGGATGAATTTAAGTGACCTTCCTAAACTTTGGGTCAACAATTTTTGTTTCTAGGTCTGTCCTTGTGGACGTGGATTGTCCCATATAATATTTGTACATAATATTATATCACTGATATCAATTTTACTTTTAAAATAATTAATATTTTTTAGTTGTTAGGATGTAAATGTATTAACAAATATATTGCGTTCATTGTGTCGTTCTAGATCATCAAAAAAAGGTTGGAGAATATCAACAAAACTCTAAAAACGACCCTACAGACATGTAGATATTCAGGATATTCAATAGATTTTGACTTTGATTAGGGTCAGAGTTTGAGTAAAAGTTAAAGTCGAAGTGAAATTACAAAATCGTACCATAGATTAGCAACTTAATTTACAATATTATAAACGAAGAAGAATAATCGTTGAAATAATGTGTTCCCATGCATTTCAGTTTAAAAGTTCTAATTAATTAAATTATGCAATAGGAATAATTTAATATTTTAATGTTGTGGCATTTTTGCAATTTGTTATTAATGGGATTTTCTCTCTGTAAGTTTTTTACATCCTATCATTTTCACCTTTTATTCCAGTTAATTTTGAACCTCTACCAAAATAATTTCTATCTTGTTTCCCTTCAAATGTAACCATCCTTCTTTTTTTAATATTTCCTTGTCATCAATTTTTTATAAATTTTATTTATTTCGTTATGTCTTATACTTTTCGTTATCCATATTTTTCTTGTTTTCTTCAGTTTTGTGCCAGGTTGTTCTATTATCACAGAAGATATTAAATTATTTATCGGATTAACTTTAATTTGATTGTAAAAAAATAATTGTGCATCTATGATGCAATTTATTTACTATAGCATTTTATAACATTTTGAAACCGTACTCACAGATTTTTAACATAAAAGTTATTATTACATTGATGCATTTAATATAAAAGATATGTATAACAATTATCTGACAAGATTGAATTAAATCGAAAAATTTGCTTGATCTGCATATTTTTACGATTCTGCATGCATAAGTTAGCAAAATTTGCAGCATCTGCACTGGTCGAACCAACACGTGGACTCGGTGGACAACGGTGGTGGTGTTACATGGCCCAGACCATCTAGGCAACGTGTCAATAGTGCAATCGACGTTGCAGGCTTCCTCTCCCAGGTGGGTAAATGAAATGGAGAAATAAAAACAAAAAATAAACATTAAGTTCTCTACAGATCATTTTTATAAAGGCTTCTTCGACCATAACCATTATTTATATTCAAAAAAACAATTGCATGTCCTTTTATTCTCATACGTATGTCTCTTTGTCATACTCTGAATAAAATAATGTTCTTTCATTATAATTTATTCCTTCAGTAATAATACAATTCAAAATTTTTTTTATCAAATATTTTGTTAAAAATTAACACTGATTAAATTATAACAATATAATCAGTTACTAACTATACTATAACCATCATTTAGGAAAGTTTTAAATCTGATACTCTACTAAGTGTTTATCTAAGTAAAAATTCTGGCGAAAATAGAAATGCTTCGTTACCTCTATATGCTTAATTTGAAAAGCGGGACCACCCACCTATAAGTTAGGCGATATTATTATGCGCGTCGGTTTATACGATTCTACAAGGTGTCTTTCGGATTTCCTTAGAAAGAATATGAACTGCATAAAATTATCTTAATTGTGAACTTAATTAATACAAATTCAACCAACTGACATAATTCAACAATCCAAGTTTAGCAGAATTGAAACAGTCATCAAGACATTTCTCCGAATAAAATAACATTATCAGAAAGCAAGAAACCAGATTGCTGAAGCAAATGCAATTTCGCTCTAAGATCTCTGACAATATCATCAAATTTAGTAACTATAATATAGTAAGAGATAGTAACAAATTATTATTTTTAACATTTAGGAATCCTTCACCCACAAACAAGAATTTTTTAAATTCATATTCATAAGAAATTCTAAACTAATTCTGAGCGGATTTCATGTGAAATTTCATTATGAATTTGTGTGTCGTTTCCGAGGTCGTAAATGAAGATTTTTTTAATTTTACAAGAAATTCGTCTGGATATACACTGGAATCTGGATCGATGAGACTAATCGGGGATGGCTTCTTGCCGATCCAGCGGATTAGTTCAGACTGAGAAGCAAAACAAACAGGGCCGTGCGAAGTATTTTATTTGTGCACCTTTCTTTAAAAAATAATTAATGTTATAAAATTAATATAAATAACGAAAGTCAGTTTTTGGATCTTAATATAATTCTTGTTTTGAAGTTGAGACCAAAGAATCCAAATTTTTCATTAAAAAATTTTCAAAACAAGAATAAATAACAAAATATTATAAAATATTATACAAAAATAAAATGTATTTATATTAAAAAGAGAAAAAGTATATAATGATAAGGTACGTTATCAAATGAAATAAATAGCATCGGGCACTGAGAACCTAGTTAGGGACGGCACTGATTGACACTTCAAAGCACCCATTAGCCTACAAGCAATGTAAACAGAGTCTCACCGATCCAGATTCTAGTGTACGTAGGAATTTTTGAAACTTGACATCCAAAATTTAGAAATTTTTATTTTTTCCCAAATGTTAATTTTCATGTAGCATTGTAGATATTTGAAAAATCACTATGTAAAAGGATTTTGCAAAAAAAATTTGATCTCTTGTTATTAATAATTAAATGTTTTACTACTTTTTTTAAAATAAAATTTTAGAAAAAATGTTGACCGATTTTATTGATTTAATCGGCATTATTTTTGTCTTGAATCTAAATTGCAAATGACAAATTTCTAGGTATGTATGTACACCTATCAATAGACATTATCTTCTGGAATAGAAAATATATTATGTGCACACGTAATCGACATAAAAGTAATTTTAGATAAAAAGGGTGTATTAAAAATTCATTTTGAAGTCGAAATTGTGCAAATAAATATTTTAAATTATAATAGTCAGAATAAGAAGGTTAAATTAAAATCATTTTATGATTCGGAAAACTTGATATTCCGAGTTACATTGATATTAACTTGTATGCATTTTTTTTTAGTATTTATAAATATTTTTTGTTTCATTTATAAAAATTTATAAACTGTAAGAGTTTTGAATTGAAAAATTCTAACATAACCAGTAGAAATATTAATGTTTTTAATAGAAATTCAAAAATATAGCTGATTAAACAGTACGATACCGTAAACTGGGGCTATTAGGAACAGATTTCAACTTTAAAGTCTTGCAACTTTTTTGTGTATTGAAATATTGCCTTAATTTTTGATTTTTTCTTGATCTTGGCGAGCACTTTGAAGGGTTAAATAATTGTTTTGATCAAAGATGGAATTTTAAGCAAAAAAGACGCATTTTTTCGAAATTACAAAATGGGGCTATTAGGAACAAGACGGTAAAAACCATTGGAAAACGTATTTAAAGTAAAATAAGTTATTTTTTATTGCTCGAAAGTAAACACAGATTATAAAACAAATGTAAAAACAAAACTAAAAGAGCGAATGTGTGTTTTAAACGTTTCTGGTATCATCAGTTAAGGTCGATGATGGAATCACTGGTCGTTTTTTGTGACTTGTCGGTACCAACACTCTTTTACAATTTCGAACCATCTTTGAACACTAAAAACCAAATTAGGTGATAAAAAACAAAAGAAATTACGAAAAACTTACGTTTTGACAACACACTTTAACAATTCGGTAGAAATAATTGTGTTCCTTATATATCCGCCGTTTGTGAATTTTGGTTTTTGTTTCTAAAATCTTACTGTAAATACAAAATAAACGTATTTATTACTTAGTGAACTCAATAAAGTTTGCAATAAGAAATCCCATTAATAAAAAACAATCACTTTGAGAAGTTAAAAATGAAACAACTTACCTCAGCAATCAAATGTTTTCCACGTTTGAAACTTCACTAAAACACATTAAGTCACTTACAAGCTACTATTGTTCACAAATTAATTAATAATCACAATTGTTGCATTGAAAAGTGTTGCCAGTTACCGCAGCAATAATTTTTCAAAAGCAAGTAACACAATTTATCGATAAACGGCGCCGATAGCATCAACTCCACCCGAAAACAGAATTTTGTTCCTAATAGCCCCGGTGTCCCTAATAGCCCCAGTTTACGGTACTAAAAAAAATTACACATGTACTGTGAAAGTTCGTGGTTATTTCTAAATGTATACGATATGAATTCGATTTTTTTATGTAGATCAGCAAACTCTTATTAGTTTCTGTATATTCCTCTCGTCTTCACGTGACACCAATAAGTTAATTATAAGAAGAATATTTTAAATTAAGTATATTTTAAAGAACGTACTAATCAAAGCTAACCAATTTTTAGTGCTTGTTACGCTTTATACTAAAGTAGTAAAGTAGATCGCTAATTACGCTCGATATGGTAATTTTGTTTTAAAGCTTGTTTTAAAGCTTGGCTGCATTTTTAAAATTTTGAAGCTCTTTGTAATCGAAAGTTCTTAACCCGACCTAAATAATCTCTCTCAGTTGACACGAATGAGCAACATGTTCTTTTAAAAGTTTGTATCATGTTACAAGCAAGATATAAGTTTTGCAGGGCGTCTGGACTAACTGTCTGTTATCAAGTCTTGTGTTTTGCACAAGCTTTGTTTTGTAGCACACAATTTAGCTAGTTTGTGACGGTTGGTTTCTGGTAATCACAAAATATTTGGACATGCACAGCAAAAACGCATTGTGTATTCTACAAACTCAGCTGTTTATGGAAACTGGAAAATCAGTTTCCAGATGGCGTAAGAGATACTGCAGATAATACAGGAACATAAAAAACATAATATATATTATTATAAACATTTACCAATAACTTTGATCAATAAATATTTCAACCTCTAATAACCAGATATAGACAAAGTAACAATTCTCGAATAGTGACCTATAATGGTTAAATGTCCTTAAAAATAAAATTATTAGTTGTTTTGAGAGGTTCATGAATTTTTCCCAAATGACATTTGATATTAAATATGTCATTTTGGAAAAATTTAGGACAATTTAGTTACGTATAATTTGCATATATTTTACAAGGTGGACTCTTTACGCGGACGTATATCTAAACATATCATAACATAAAAAACAGATCATAAACATGCATATAGTTTATTATTATTACAGTAAAAGAATTTGTTGTAGAATTTTGAAAATAATACATTTTATATTTATTTACGGTTTGAAACTAATATTTAGCTAGAACTTATTATGTATTTCATTTCTATAAAATATATGCTTCACAATTCTTGTGTAACAAATAATCTTCAAATTTTTAAATATGATCTATAAAAAATTGGTAATATTTTTATGCGATGCATTTGTAGAGATGTTATGTTGGTATTTCATAACTACCTAGAAACAAATATAATGAAACATTTTTTAGATTCTAATTCTCTAGCAGATACATTTCAGACATAACGTCTCAATTGCTACATACATACATAGAACGTGTCAACTGATATGGATTTATCATTATGACATTTATGTTCTAAGCACTTACTGAGTGAGTGCTGAGCTGAAAATAAACGTAAAAAATGTCCTATAGGAATACTTGGAAGCATGGAAATTTAATTTTAAGAAATCTTTTAAATTGAACTCTTCTTTTGACGAAGAATTCTTTGAAATTTAACGCTTTCTGATTTATATGCTGATATTATATAAAACTCTTAATAAACATTTTTCAGTATAGCGATTTACTTCATAACTATTCATCTAATAAAAAATAAGCCTCTAGTCATTCGCACAAATTTATTCGATATTTTATATAAATCTAAGAGAAACTAAATTAATAAAAGTTGAAATTGATTAATTTCACATAAATTAGTAAAAGAAAATTACTACTTTACTCTAAAGCAAGTTAATTCATTCGAATTTATCTATCTTTATGAAAATAGCCAAAAATTCAATGTAAAATTTATGTTTTACAAGTTTCAAAATTCTGATTTTATTAAGATGTAATATGCAGTTCTAGCAGGCTAAATCACGACCTAGTGGGCATACTTGCTCAAAAGACGTCCTAAGGATGTTTTTTTGCTGACGTCTTGTGTACTTTGACAAAAGACGTCCTTAAAATGTTCTATCTTTTAGCGATTAGATTTCTTTAAGATGTCTAAAAGAAGGTCATTTAGCCTAATTCAGCTGTATATAACTAAATAAGAAGAAGAATTGTCAATTAAACTTTCACTTATCATTATTATTTTATACAATTAGAAAATATGTTTAATTCTACAGTAGAGAAAAATAAATTACTACTATCTCTTTTTAAAGGAATTTCTGCGGAGACACGGTTCGACATCCCGGCTCTGTCGCAAGGTTCGAAGTGCAGATAATTTACCGTTGGCAACGAATAACCGTCATCAGGATCGAAGAATTTCTAAAGATGAAATAAACGAAACCGATCAAGATTTTTTTCTAAGATCAAATACAGAAGATAGTGATAAGCTTGAGGAATCAGATTCCAGGAGGCAAAGCATTATTGAGAAACCTCCCATGATTGCTGATACTGCTATATTAGAAACATGTCACTTGCAGCAGTCACCAAGGTATTATTAATATTCAACATTATTTTGTAATACAAAAACCGAACTTCACATTTAACCCTAGACAGTACGACTGTGGTACTGAAGTACCCTAGAGAAAATGCTAATTATGGCATTTTTCGTCAATTTTGTATTTTTTGTGTTGGTTTTTGTAAATTCCTTGACCATAGTTTTCATCCCATCAAGTAACAAAAAACCCAGCAAAACATTTTTAGGGTACTTTTTTAGATACGAAGCTCATTAAAGTTGATGTAATTCTTTAAATTTCGACTGTTGTTCAACGTTTGACGCGAAAGTTGACTGAACATTGCATGAAAGATTAAAATTTCTTAAACTCTCATGCAATGTTTAGTCAACTTTAACGGCAAACATTAAATAACATCGGGAATTTAAAAAAGAAGTTCAAGTTTCATGAGCTTCGCAATGAACTATGCTTTTGCATAGGATTTAAGCCAAGTATATGAAATTACAGATTTTCCACTTCCGACTATTAAAAAATATATGCCTTTTGAGCTGAATTCCATTTTAAGCTTTTGACATGCCAAGTGTTTATTTTCGCTAAACGGATAAGATTTTTTTTAAATTAATTAAATTTCAACACTACTTTTATTATTACTTTATAATGCAAAATTTCATAATGTTGATTGTTTTGAGATTTTCATAACTAATGTGATTATTTTAGGGATTATGCTACAACCTCTTCGTTGACTGCTCGCCGGTTTAGTGGATGGCGAACTAGTACTAGCCACGATTACGTTCGGTGTCCAGTACGACAACCAATTTCTATGGAGGAAAGGTAATGATTTAAATAATTGACATTGATTTATAATAGTTGTTTATAGTATTTCATTTTTATATTTTTCATTTAGATTCTGTTACTTTTAAAGAAATGTTTGGCTTTCGTAAAAAACTTCGGAATTTTATTAATTTTTTGTGAGATAAAAATGTGCTTCGGATTAGGCCAAATCACATTAAATGTTACTCGGCAAGGAACAAATGCAATTGTAGAGAAAGGCACTCAGAGTGGGGATATAACAAAGGAGATCGAGAATAAGGCTTTTAAATGTCTGGGTCCGGGATCCATTTTATGCAGATTAACTTGACAAGGGGGTCAATTATGTAAATTGATTTGACTTTGACCGGCATTCAATTTTTGCATTAGTGACCCCAATGACTCAGTCCAATCAGTCTAACTTCTTTTATATTAAAAAATTTAGCTTGACAAGGATGAAAACATCTTTAGCCTTTATTCAAAAACTTGGCTTTACGGGGGAAGATTAGAGGTCTAAATGGCTGTGTGGAGCTATTTAGTTCACCACAGGAACCAGTTCCAAGGGCTTGCCTGATCTATAAAGGTCTACGTGAACCTGCACCACCTAGAAAGGTGGAGAGGTTGGTAGATTACTTTTAAAGGCAAGGTCTCCCTTTGATAATAGGTTGTGATGCCAGTGCGCACCATGTCGTATGGGGCAGCACTGACATTAACGATAGAGGCAGGAGACTTTTAGATTTTCTGTTAGATACAGATTTAGATATTTTAAATCAGGGTAATGAGCCAACTTTCGTTACTGTTAACAGAAAAGAAGTGTTGGATATTACGATCTGTTCCAAGTCTTTGTGTGGTAGTGTGAGGGACTGGAGGGTATCTGATGAGGACTCCTCTCGGACCACAGACTTATTACATTCAGAATGGAATTAGAGGATCGGGAACATAAATGGGACGTATTCCTAGGAGTACTGACTGGGCTTTGTATATTGAGGACCTCAAGACCTCCGTACTTCCTCACTTCGTATGGAACGCAGGAAGAGTTGGAACTTGCAGCGGAATATCTGCGAGATTCGATTATCTGCTCCTTTGAAAGAAGCTGTGTAGCCAAAAAATGGGCTTCAACAGGGGTAGTAAATAGTGGAGCCCCCATTTGGAGGAACATAGGCAAACAGTTAGAAAGTTTTTAATAAAGCCAAGAAACGTAGGAATCAGCCAGCAAGGGATAAATATCATACTGCTCGAAATTCTTACAAGAAAGAAGTAGAGAGGGCAAGGGGTGTCAGCTGGAGAAGTTTTTGTGAGGGAATCGAAAAGGTACCAGAAGCATCAAGACTCCATAAAGTACTAGCTCGAGACTTCCCCAGTAGCACGTAATATTACAGCAATATTGATAACACTGCCTTAACATTACCAATATTGCCTTAATGTTGCTGGAATGTTCCCAACATTACGTGCTCCTGGGGTTAATGGCCAAATTAACTACTATTAATAAATAGTGAAAATTAACGATCACTCCGAGTCAAGGAAACTACTATTAAGTTACCCCATGGGCACTATGCCCAGGATAAAAAGGAGTGTCTAAAACACCTGATAGAAGTAATCTTCCCGGACTTTAGAGAAAGATCGGAGAATAGCCATGGCGTAGGACCAAGTAGAACCCGAAGATATCGGGAACACTGGAAACTAGCAGCCAGGGTTGCAACTCCGGAAGAGATTGATTGGACAATAGGCACTTTCAAACCATTTAAGGCCTCAGGGGGATGGTATATATCCGGTTCTTTTGCGAAAGGGATTGGAATGTATTAGACTACCCCTGTGTAAAATTATGAGAGCGTGTATAGCTCTTGGGTACACACCGGAGTCTTGGAAAAAGACGAGGGTTATGTTTATTCCGAAGGCCGCGGTCGGTCAGGGTATACTGCGGCAAAGGACTTCAGGCCAATCAGCCTAACTTCTTTTATATTAAAGGCGTTAGAGAAACTGGTGGATAATTTTATCAGACAGGAATGTCTTAGGGACAATTCTCAGTAGAAACAGCCCTTCATTCTGCAGTAGGTAGAATAAAGGGACAAATTAGCAGGGTGGTGGCTATACGGTTGGTACCTTCTTTGATATTGAATGTACCTTCCCTAACATCTCTAGCAAAGTTATCTGTAGGGCAGCCAGGAAGCGAGGTGTGCCCGAGCCGCTAATTAAGTAGATCCCACAAGGAGGAGTTCTCTCTTCTTTATTGTGGTGCTTAGTGGCAGATAAGTTAATCAGAAACCTTAAAAGCCAGGGATATTATACGCAAAGTTATGCGGATGATTTCCTAATAATTATAAGAGGGTACTCAATTGAGAACTTACGGACTTACCTCTTACCTCTAACTTACCTCTTAGAACTTACGGAACGTGCACTTAAGATTGTCAAAGATTGGTGCAATCCAACTGGACTCTCTGTAACCCCAGAGAAAACGAATATAGTAGTTTTCACAAGGAAATATAAGGTACCGAGTTTAAAAAACCAATATTTTATGAAAAAGAAATTTCTTTTTCCGAATCGGCTAAGTACCTGGAAGTGATCCTAAGTAAAAAGCTGAGTTGGAAGGAACATTTCGAATATCAGTATGCAAGGTTCTGTACTGCTTTTTGGGTGTGTAGAGGGGCGATAGGGTCACCGTGGGGACTAAGCCCTAATGTGGTCAAATGGCTCTATTAGATGATTTTAAAACCCTGGTTTCTTTACGCGGTAGTGGTTTGGTGGTCTAGGACTCAACTGATAACAGTTATAGAGAAACTGGACCAACTGCAAGCAATGGTTTTCAAGGGTATTACGAGGGCTATGAGGATAACGCCAACAGCTGCGTTGGGATTCATACTAGCCGAAGTACCCCTGCATATTGCTGCTGTGAGAAAAGCGGCTCTCACTATAAGCAGACTAACTGCGCAGGGAAGGTGGAAGTTTTGGGGGTAAACACACCAAGCTTCCACGTTCAATTCTATCAATCCCAGAACTAAATATGGTGCAAGATAGAATGATCAAGAGGGTGCAATTTAAACCCTGCTTTAAGATCATTACACCTTCCAGAATGGACTGGAAGAAAGGTTTTCCACTTGGGGACGAAGTCTGGTATACAGACGGCTCCAAGATGGACTGCGGTGCAGGCTTCGGAATTTATCGGAAAACTCGCTGCATTAAAGTGGCTGAGTCACTGAAACAATATGCCACGGTCTGGCAGGCCGAGGTCTGTGTGATTTTAACTTGCTCCCAAATGTCCATTCAAAAAGGAACAAAGGGTAAGAGGATTCCCAGTGGGCAAAAAACCATCATTGTTTTAAAAACGTTCCAAAAACGTTTTTAGAACGTTTCATGTCTGCAAAATAATGTTCCAAAAACGTTCCATTGCTTTTAAAACGCTTTAGAACCATATAACGTTTTTGGGACGTTATTTAGCAGACATGAAACGTTCTAAAAACGTTTTTAAAACAATGATGGTTTTTTGCCCACTGGGTTAGTATTTGTGTGGATAGTCAGGCGGCCTCAGGGAGGGGCTTTGAAAAATCCCACAATAGAATCAAAACTCGTCAGGGAATGCCGTAGCGTACTAGACGAGTTGGATTCAGTAAATAAACTTTCATTGATCTGTGTACCGGGCCACTCTGGGATTAAGGGTAATGAAAGAGTGGACGTCTTGGCAAAAATCGGTTCCAAGACGGCATTTATAGGTCCTGAACAAGCAGTGGCAATACTGCCGTGCTGGGTTAAGGGAGCCATAGAAAGATGGGGTCAAAGGGAACATAAGAAAATCTAGCTCGATCTCGGTTGTTAGATTAGATTAGATATTAAAAAATTTGGAGAAACTGAAGGATCATTCTATTACACAGGAATGTCTAAAGACATTACTGAATGAATGTAGAATGTTGACGCATTCTACATGTACATTAACATTTCTAATAATTTTGTTTAGATGCTTCAGGAGATCCTGTGAACCCGATTTCATCCGGTTACCACGTCACCACATTCATCATCACCATCATCATCATCATCGTCGAATAGAAACGCATTCAAGAAGTTGTGATTACTCAAGACGCTCAATGTCTATAGAAGCTCACAGCGAAACTCAACATTTTGGCTTACCAATTCTCAGTATCAGTGAACCCAGCCCTCCAGACGAGGCTAACAACACGGTGGACGAAACTTTGTAGGATTTGCTTGCCGAGGACTTCCCTAAAGAACTTCTTGTCTGACTGGAAAAGTTTTGTTTTCTTTAAATGGTTTCCTTGAAAATCTAAAAACTGTCAAAACTTCAAGGGATGATTAAGTACCTCGGCAAAACAAGAACACCAGTTCGAATGTATGAGTGTTTGCATGTGTGAATTGTGGCACTTATTAATGAACTCATTTATTTTCAAGAAAAAAAAAACGTAATAATTGTGTCGAACAGTCTCTTATTATTAGATATATCCAACAAGACTTCTATTTCAATTTAAGGAAGTCAAAAAACTTCTGAGGCTGATTATCTATTTTTTATCAAATATTGACATATTGTAAAGCAGTTAATCATAGAATCAAATTCATTCTCATTAAAATGGTCCAAAAATATAGTTTATAAATTCTAAATATTATTATGTCTATTAAAAAAATATCAACATTAAGTATTTGCAAATTTTATACATTCTTATTATATGAAAAAATATTTTAAATGATAATTAATTACTTTTCTTAATTACTTAATTTTATCTTAATTCAAAACTTTGTCAATCACATAAGATTATTAGGCTCTTGAAATACTTCAAACTAATTAAAACTGGTTCTAATACTTTATAAAAAAAATTAATATATTCTAACAAACATATCTCATGATTTTATAGAAATTTCTATTAAAAAATAACTTGAAGCTTAATTTTAGTAAGTTAGAAAGAAATTATGCGTGATTTTAAAATACTAAAATATTAGGGGAGATACCGATTCTTTGCAAATGAATCCTACCTAAAAAATTCTACTCACAATCAGTTAATCTTACAGGAAGAAATATATACCTATTACATTTCATTTAAAAATTAGGTTCTAAGCAATTAAAAAAGCCATCTGACTATAAAAATCTGTACAGCTGAAGAGACATTTATTTATTTCAATTCAAATGTAAATACTAATTGTAATCTGCCTTGTAGATTTTAATTTCATTAAGCTAAAAAATCATAAAATATTATATTTTTAAATTTAATTATGTAGAGATTTTTTTATATTAAAGTAGCTGCATTTATTAACTAACACAATATTAGAACTTATACTTTACTACTATATAGCCAGTCAAGTAGCAGCAAGAGACAGGAAGAGAAACTGTGAACCATTACTTCACAAGAACAATGTTTTCCAGTTGTTGATTTATTTTACATTTGGGATTTATTTTTAACGTACAGGTTAGAATTTAACACAAAAAATACAAGAATTTAATTAGTGTTCTGTAATTTGATGTTTATCATTTATTTGATATTTTTAATTTATAAAAGTAAGTTCTCTTAAAATTCAATAATTATTTACAGATATTTTGAATCATTGTATGTTAAACAGAAAATGGGTATTAATAATTTAAATGTAGCGCCTGAGACGGCGCTATTTAATGTTTGGAAATATATTTCAATTATTTATTAAATTTACAAAAGTATTAACATAGAAAACCTAAGTACTACCGTGTCATTTAATATTGGTTTAATTTCATACACATCAAAAATAAGTTCTCGTTTTTTCTACTCCATGTTTTAGAGTTTATTTGCAAACAATGAAACCACTGTCTTCAATATAATGTGTGAAAATTTCAAAAACAGTCTTTTAGCTATGTTACAAAATTTTTGTTTAAGGATTATTTGCGTAGAATCGTTACCACCTAAAAAGATGAGAAATTTTGTTAACACAATACTATTACATAACTTGTAAATTATTTTTATTATATTAACTGTAAAAAAATAAATATTTATCTATAGTTTAGAAATGTGTTACTAATACATAAACTTTTATTTTCAAAAGATTAGATTTAATTATTTATGTAAATTATTTCAAAATTTTAAAGAAAATTTTTAAACCATTTTAATTCTTATGTGATTTCTTATTCTGAGGGCACTTTAGTAACGATCATTGTAATTCTTTATCAGGGATATTTGCGTCTTCGATTGTATATATGACGTATATGTAGGATAACAAAAATTTTGGGAACAATAGAACTTATCTTCGAAAACTAAGTATATCTGGGAATCAAAGCGAAAGTTGGTAATTTGCTAATAGAACTCGCTAATAGAACTTAATAAGAAAACCGCGCTTCCAACAAATCTTTAAATTCATTCTCGAATCTGAATCGAGAAATAAAAGAAAACTAATGTAGATTAAGTCTGTAAACCAACAATTTCTTTAATGAAAGATAAAAATATTTTATTGTCCTATTTCATCGCGTTAATGGTCAATTATAATATTTACAAGAATATAAATAATTTCAAAACATATGTGTATATTGAACATACAACATTCTTAGTACAATAGCTGTAAAATTAAATCGTCAATTACAAATCATTACAGTGTTAAAATTCTTGAATTAAGACCACTTTTCATTGATCCTCTGAATTAGAAATATTTTTAAAATAAATATTGATTGCGAGAAAAAATAAAAACATTCTTTAATCATGTTCATATAATCATTTTCATTTCTTGATGAAGATAAAAATAAAACGAAAATATTTGGAAAATGGATTTTTATATTATTTTATTCTAAAACTTACAAAATTTAAACGATTTTCAAATATTTATCGTTATATTTTTCGATTTATCTAAAAATTCTAATTGGATACGAACAATTTTTTAGTGCATAATCTCTTTTTTTGCACTTTTTAAAATTAGATTTCTATTACTGTATATAGAATAATAGTTGATAGAAATTCTTAAACACTTAGTACGTATGTGAAAATCAACGTCTCTCTTGAATACTATAAAAAATTTTAAAAATGGATATTTCTTTTTTGAAAATATAACCTTATAACACAGGGGTAATATAAGGATGTTCCTATACTAGGGATATCTTTTCTTTTTAGGCAATTGGAATGGTACAAGAATATCTATAAATGACCCTAAGATATCTTAAGGATATTTGAACCCAATAGAAAGAAAAAATACGCCTATGACATCTTAGGGATATTTTTTGAATATACAGAAATAAAAAGCAAAAATATTACACTAATATTAATATTACACCCTACCCACGTGATTTGTCAGTTTTGGTAAAGCTTTTTTTCAATTCAAATTAGAGCTTTTTATGCCTTCACATTTTCTTTCTACAGGACTTCAAAAAGTGCAAAAAACGCCGTTTTTTGATAATTTAACTTATCTTTTTAGGGGTCTGAATAAATTGAAATTTTTTTTTGCATTTTCTTCTTCATCGATTTCTTTGTGCAAGTTCAAGCTTGCCATTCTACAAGTTTCAGCTTCATTTGACAAAATTAATACTGATATGAATCTTCGTTTCTCCTTTTGTACTGCATGGTAAAACTCATCTATCATCACTCTCTTAATTTCTCAATATTTTATTTTGATTATAAACAAAAATTTTAAACTTTAAAATTTAATTTTAAAAATTGAGTGTCACTTTCAACTACATCATTATTTTTATAAAAAAACATCTACTTATGGAATAATAAACATTAAAGTCTCTCTAAGGAAAAATATAATTTGAGAATTTATTTTCTTTTAGCAGGGTTGCCACGCTTTTACTGATTTCAAATTCCCTGACTTTTACAGGTTTTTAAAACTACATTTATATTTTACAAAATTTTTAATTCAAACCTTTTTGAAATTAAACATCTTATAAAAAATTGTTATAAAACATGAAAATATCGATCACTCCGAGTCTTCGATTCGGAGCAATCGATATCTTCATGTTTTATAATAATTAAAAATGTTGGACTGATAAAATCATCATTTTATACCTATTATAAGAATATTGTTACTGTAACTTATTCAAAATTACTTTCATTATTTTAATTCAATTATTGTTTTCCACAATTTTTAACTAAAATTCTTCTTTATAAAGTGTAAATTAATTATTATTAATAATTTCTGAAAAATTTCTTTCAACATTTTCAAATCCTTTTGTTTACAATTCAATTTTACGAAATTTCATCGATTATTCAAGTACTCGGAAATTCTTTAATCAAATATATATTAGAAAATAAAAACTTTAAATAACTTCAAAAAAATTCAATTCAACTTTTACAAAAAAATTAAATCTACACAATTTTAAGTTAAAAGTATGAAAAATTCAAACATTCAAAGATTATAATTTGAGACCTGCTTTTCAAAACTCAATTATTATCTAAAGTTTTAACTGAAATTCATATTTCAATCAATTATTATTAGAAAATTCTACGACAATTCAATTATTTAAATACAAAAAAAATAATTTATTGAAGAATTCAATGTTTCTTAAAATTCAACTCTCATTTAATGAATTTTATCAACAAATTTTTAAATAGGTAATTAAAATTCTTTTGACGAATTTCAATAAAATTTTTAAGAATAATTTCATTTTTCGAGAAATTAGATTAAAAATGTATTAAAAATAATTGAATCTCTGTAAAAAAATTTCATTGAATTGAGAAAAGTTTTTGAAAATAATTGAAATTTTGTCAAAAATTTTATTAAATTTTTTTTAAATAATTGAAATATTGCCAAGAATTTTATTAAAATTTTTGAAAATAATTGAATTTTAGAGAAAAATTTTAATATTTATAAAAATAATTGAAATTTTGACTATAAGTTTTTTTAAACTTTTGACCATAATTGAATTTCTGCTAAGAATTTTAAAACTTTTGTAAATAATTGAATTCTTGAGACGAATTTTTTAATAATATTTCTTTTTAAATACCTAATTATTTTTAATACAAAAATAAATAATTTATTGAATAATTGAATGTTTCTCAAAAGTCAATTCTCGTAAAGAATTTTATTAACAAATTTTTAAATAATTGAATTCTATTGACGAATTTTAATAAAATTTTAAATATAATTACATTTTTCGAAGAATTCGATTAAATTGTATCAAAAATAATTGAAATTTTGCAATGAGTTTTATTATCTATGAAAATAATAATTGAATCCCTGTAAAAAATTGTATTACATATTTATAAAAATAATTGAATCTCTGTAAACATAAATTGAATATTTTTGAAAATAATAGATTTATTGCGAAGAAATTTATAAAAAATGTTTAAAATAATTCATTTCTTTTGGAAAATTTTATTAAAATAGTAGATATTAAAAATCATTGACTGGAGGAGAATTTTTCAAAAGAAATTGAATTTGTTAAAAAGAATTTCATTAAAATTTTTGAAAATAATTGAATTTTGGAGATAAAATTTAATATTTATAAAGATAATTGAAATTTTGACGATAAATTTTTTAAACTTTTGACCATAATTGAATTTTTGCGAAGAATTTTATTACTTTTGAAAATAATTGAATTTCTTTGATGAATTTTAATATAATTTTTAAAAATAATTATAAATTTTTCGAGAAATTCCATTAAAATTGTATTAAAAATAATTGAAATTTTGCGATGAGTTTTATTATTTATGAAAATAATTGTAAATCTATCAATTTTGTGATTATTTATGAAAATAATTGAATTATTGCGAAGAAAAATTGTAAAGGCAATTCTTTTAAAATTGAATTAAGAAATTTGAATTAAGAAAATTGAAATATAAAATAAAGAAAAATTAAATTTCAAGAATAAGCACAATAACTTTAGAAAACAATAATTTTCCAGGATTCCAATGAAAATTCCCAGACTTTTCCAGGTTTTTTCAAGGTTTATAAAAATTCCCTGACATTTCGAGGTTTTCCAGGTTTCCAGGTTGCGTGGCAACCCTGTTTAGTTTTAATTATACAATTCAAGCAGCAAAACTAGATTGTGAATCATAGAATCAGCATACAAAAGCATACACATATTTTACAATAAAATCAATAATTATTTTATTATTTTGACGACTGAGTAATAAAATTATTATTTATATATTTTAATTGTATACGTTAAATAAAGTATCCAAGAGGAAAACGTATTCAACAGAGCCGTTTCGCATTGAAAAAACTCTTCATTCGATTTCGACACTTAACAACAAAATCTTTTTCATTGAACTATATTATTAAAGTGAAAAAAAAACTCTACACCTCGTCCGGTCCACAACGAATTTGTTAACTTCGATGATTGTATTTTCATTTTTATTCAGTTAGAAAAAATAACATTAAATAATACTAATAAACAAATCATGCGCTACGCGAAGAACCACCAACATGCATTTTAACAAGATTTTTATACTTTCATTAAAGTTAAGAATAAAAAAAAATTAGTTATTAATTTTTTGCAAAAAGATAAGAAATGGAATCTGTGTACTGTAAGGATATTCATGTATGTACAACATCACAATGTTATTTTTCTAATTATCTATGTCTTTCTAATTTTCTATGTTTTTCTAATTTAAAGAAAGCACCCTCACAGCACCGGGATATTCAGGATATCCCAGAGACGTCCTGGGGATATCGATTTGTTTTCGGAAGTTTGGATATCTCTGGGATATCCTAGGGACGTCCATGGATATCCAGAGGATAATCCAGGGATATCCAAACTTCCGAAAACAAATCGATATCCCCAGGACGTCTCTGGGATATCCTGAATATCCCGGTGCTGTGAGGGCAACGATGCTAAAAGAAACTTTTAAATGAGCGCTGACGAAAATTTCCCAAAATAAATGACTCAAGAAGTCTTTAACACTTATATCCTTAAATCATGAGACCAACGTAATAAATATATATATATACACATATTTTCTTAAAGAAAGTAACTAACTTTGATAATATACGGAAATAAGTAGTTTTCTTAAAAGTTTTAAAATGTAGCCTTCCGTGTATGAATGTATATATGTATATTTAATTTAATAGTAAAATTCCTGTACATTGCCGTCCAAAATTGTAAGCCCATTAAGTTTTAAATTACGTATCGATAGAGAAATTCGTCTTTATCTAGACTTATAGATTAGATTTTTGATTGAAATAAGATTTTATCAAAAATCCAAACTTTTCGAATGTAGAACAGAGTCAAGTACACCAATGATTCCAAATAAGTGTATTTTTAAAGTTGACGTTGTCAAATTCTTATATATATAGATACATGACCAAAACAAAGAATATATTGAAAAACATGCAAATGTTCTTGCTCTAGGTAACTCAAGGTAATAAGTACACGATGTTTTATGTACGTATGCGATTCCAAGAGTTACAAATAACCTATCGTTTTCACATGTTCTTATTGTACAAGGTATATCGGTTTAAAAATTATTATGTAAATGTTAACGAAATAAATGATGGAGTATATAACATTTTTTAATCCAAAAAGTAGATGGTCTCACAATTCTGGACTACAGTGCGTACGTTAACGAAAATAATAGCAATATAATAATTATAAAATAAAAAAACAATAAAACATAAATCTTTTGAGCGCACAATGGTGCATTTGCATAATAATAATTATAAATACCTAATAATATAAAGGTATATTTTTCTTCAAGTTCTAATAGATAAGAAAATAAATATATATATATTTTAAATATCCAAGAACATGTGTTTAAATGTATTAGAACTGTTTAAAGAAGTACACTGGAACCTCGGCTATACGGACAGATCGGGTACTCCGAGAAGGTCACCTTGACGAAAAAGCGAAAACATGCAGGATCTAATTTCCGTATAACCAAGATTCCAGTACATCAAATTTATCAAATTAATGTTTTCAAATTTCCAAATATAATAAAATTATCTTTCTACTCAAAAAAAAGTATGTTTTCTGATTTCTATTAGATTCTGGGACCAAGAGAATTCAGATATACATAAATCTCCTAAAATTAAAAATTAATATTCATGTTATTAACACATATTTCAAAAGCGTTTACGTATGAAAAATGCTGATAAAAGTTGTTTAAATTATTGATGACTTAAAAATAATATTAAGATCACATTAAATATAATCTCCTTAGTAAATTACTGTTTACAATATTTTTCAGAGAAAATACCTGAGCTCAAAATTATCCCCATTTATGCTACTTGTTTTGATTAGCATCAAAAATGAACCTCGTTCTATTTGATATACTTCAGAAAAATGAGTCCAGGTCCTTTCTGTGATCGAAATTATAAGGGAAATCAAAGTTAGCTTCCAAATTTTTTTGCAATCATTGTTTTATTCAAAGTATCATTTTATTTTTCATCCTATGGTGTAAACGGATAAATAATTATAATAAACACCCGTGTGGAAATTAAATCTGGGTGCTAACCATACTACTGTCAAGCTAAGTGAGTTCATAATAAGAAAGGGTGGACACCGGTGTTCATAGCTATAGGTGTACCCTAACAACGGACGTCCTAGTCAAATCCGAAAATTTTGATATCCCTAGAATCCTGTACAAAAACCTTTAGGGATCCTTTGAGGATCCTGTACGGGAATTTTAAGCTGTGAGTGTTCTGCCAGTTCCCGAATAGAAACAGATGATTAGTTCTAACCCAGACTATTTCCACACGAGTGTTTCAATATTTTTCTGTAAAATTAGTCTGCATAATCATATTGTTATTTTATAAGAAAATATTTTATTTTTTTACTACAGATAAAATACCTAGAAACAATGCAAATATAAATTTAATGTATTATTAAATTCAAATCCTGTTCTAGTAAAACATTAAAGGGTACAATGAAATCTCATGGATGTACGAATAAGGAAGTGTATTATAATTTTTGTAGACAAATTTCATTAAAATTACATTCCTTACTGATTCTAATGTTTGCTTTTTAAATGATAAACATTTCTTTATTATGTTAACTCATTCAATTATGTTAAGAATTATTTTTGTCCAACGATTTCTTTTGGGTTTTAAGTTATTCTACAATACGGTTAAGAACAAACAAGTATGAAACAACCATATTTGTGCCAAAAACGTTTAAGGAACCACTGAATAAATACTTCATCACTACTCGTCACTATACTCAGTATCCTCTTTTACTTCACCTTTATTCATACTTAGGCCTTAAGTTAATCTCTATTCTTCTCAACTAACATTTGTGGATTGATATTTTATTCTCTTTTAGTGATATCATTTATATTTATTCTGAAGTTCTGATTTGAGTCTCTATTAATGTTCTCTTACTAATAAAACTATTCTTGAATTGTACTGAGTCGGAAATTTATTAATGCAAAAACTATGTCTTTTTAGTATTAAAGTTTACATTAAAATAATTTTGTTACCCCAAAATTTCATTCATCTTTATTATTTCTTTGCAGTAAAATTGTCAGTAAAATATTGGACAGTTTACAATTTTCTTAAGACTCACATAAAGATGATTTTATAATGACATTATGCTCTAGGTTACTTCACTAGTACATAATCAATTTTAATTATAGTTTCTGTCATTATTTACTCAGTAAAAGAATAATTGGAAGCAAGAAAAAATAACTTAAATTGAATGCGCCTTCGCGTAAAAACCTAATTGGAAAGTTACGGTGATTTATTTTTTGTTATATTGAATTCTTTTCTCCTGAATTGTTCGAACTAACGTTTATTGACTTAAGTTGACGATATAAATGATAAATTGAAAGAGCAAGGTACAAAAATACATTAAAAATGTTAATATTGTATGTATAATCTCTAAGAAAAATTTGTGGAATTTTTTAGAGTACCCTTTAATTTATTACAAATGTTTACAAATTTTTGTCGTATTGAAGTATCTTAAATTAAATAAAGTATTAATAGTGAATTCTGAAAAGTTCGAAATTGATCTTATGGAAAGATGAAAGAATTAAAATGATTTTCGAATAATAAAAAAATGTATTCCCAATTTCAGTGTTTAACATATTAATTACATTGAGGACCAATCAATTATGTAAGTGCCCACTCGATAAATTTCATTTCTATGTATATTTCAGTTTCTTGATTTATGGTACAAAATTCATAAAATAACAAAGTATCTCAAGGATTTCATACGTACCAAAGAATTGTATCTATTGTTATAATCGATTTATTATGTACTGTTGAATAAATTTAAATTTATTCACAAATTAAACGTTCTAAATAACACATTGAAAAATAAAGAGAATTTTAAAAAGACTTTTAAATCGTCCCTCATTCAAATAATATATATTTATAAGTCTAAATCCTTTATTCATTACATAAAGTTGTTTCTGATTTTTCTTCAAATATTAACCATTCAGGGCTCGGATCGACTTTAAGACTCAAAAAAAGTCGCTTTAGTCGCATAAATTCACAACAAAAGTCACGAAAAGTCGCATGGAATTTTAGAAAAAACGACAAAAAGGAAACACGAAGTTGTCAAAATTGTAAAAAAAATCACATTTCTCGACAACACATACTTTAATATCAAACAATCCGGAATGAAATTTAATAAAACTCAAAGAAAAATTTTAATGAGGTATTTTTAACATTTTTTTAAAAATTCTCTTTAAAATGTAAAATATTTTTATAAATAATAAAATTCTTCTCCTAAATTCAATTATTTAAACAAAAATTTAATAAAATTCTTGTCAAAATTTTAATTATCTTTATAAATAATAAAATTCTTCTCTAAAATTCAATTATTTTCATAAGTAATGAAATTCTTCGCAGAAATTCAATTATATTCAAATTTTTTTTTCAAATTTAAATGTTCTCGATAAAATTCTTTACAAAATTCAATTATCTTCAAAAGTAAGAAAATTCTTCTGCAAAATTCAATTACTTTTAAATATTTTAAAAAAAATCTGTTCAAGATTTTAATTATCTTCATAAATAATAAAATTCTTTTCTGAAATTTAATTATTTGTAAAAATAATAATAAAATTCTTGTCCAAATTTCAATTATCTTTATAAAGAAAAAGATTCATCCTAGAAATTCTATTATTTTCAAATTTTTTTTTAAATTCCTCGTCAAAATTTTATATTTATCTTCATAAATAATAAAATTCATCCTGGAAATTTAATTATTTTTAAAAGTTCTGATAAAATTCTTTGCAAAATTCAATTATCTTCAAAAGTGAGTAAGTATCATTTATACACATAATTTTTTTTTTTAACTCAAATTTTTTTTTTATTTTATAAAAAAAAATTTTTTGTCTTCTCTTGAAAAAAAAATTTTTTTTTGTCATCTCTCTTAAAAAAAATTTTTTTTTTTTGTATAAGGAAATTCTTCGCAGAAAATCAATTATTTTCGAAATTTTTTAAAAATTCTCCTCAAAATTTCAATTATCTTTGTAAATATCAACATTATTCTGCAAAATGCAATTACTTACTAATGTTTTATAAATTGCTTCTCAATAATTCAATTATTTTCATAAAAAATAAATACAAAAATTTTTTTTTTTTAATATGTCTTATAATATAAAATAATGATTTTATCACTCGGTCATCTTTAATTGTAATAAAACATGAAAACATCGATTGCTCCGAGTCGAAGACTTGGAGTGATCGATTTCTTCATGTTTTATAACAATTTTTTATAAGTTGTTTAATTTCAAAAAGGTTTGAATTTGAATCTTTTGAAGAATTTTATTTCCTATGGAAAAATATCTATTTAAAAAAGAAGTTATTGATGTTTTCGAAAAATTTGAAAGAAATTTGTAAATAAATGTAACAGATCATTTTTTTGACTAAAACTTTTTCCTTCAATTTTCTAAAAATTTTAAAAGTTTCACTTTCTAATTGACAAATAGAATTTATAAACATTTTTTTTTTCATTAATTTTTAAAAAACTTTAATTTTTATTAAAGCAATTGTAATTAAGAAATAGAAATGATGCAAATTGTTTCCTTATGAAAATTGGGAATTTCCTACAAAAATATTAAGAAACGAGATAATATGTTATGTTTTTTTTCCCTAAAGAGAAGAATGATTTTGTGAACAATATTGTTTACAAAAAAAGATTTCTGACATTATTTTACAATTTAAGTCGAAAAGTAATTGAAAAATTTGAAAAAAGTCGATTAGTCGCATTTTACTAAGAAAAATCTCGAAAAAGTCGATTAGTCGCATTTTTTCACAAAAAAGTCGAAAAAAGTCACATTTCCTTATAAAAGTTGAAAAAAGTTGAAAAAGTCGCACAATCCGAGCCCTGGACATTTTTTCTCTTTTGTTTTTGTTTTGTACTCAAAGTTAGGTATCTTTACGTTATATATGGGCAATTCCACGTGAGATTTTAATCGACCTCTTAAAATTCGCCAAAAATATTTTTTTTCTATTCTGTATCGAAAAAAAACGTATCCGTATTTTTTTATTTTTGTTTAATTGTCCAAATTTTCGAGTTATGAATTTTGGAAATTTTGGACTTTTAATTGTAGACCTATATTCAGTAGCTTATAAGTCCGAAAATATTGAGTTTAGGAAAAAGTTGTCAAAGAATGAAAGTTTTAGTTTTCTTTCGACTTTTAAAAAATGTAAACAAAAAAATTTTTTTTAATTTTTTATTAAAAAAATTTTTTTTTTTATAAACAAATTAATTTTTTTAACTTTGGGCCGGATTTTCTTTAATTTTTTTAAAATTTATTTATACCTTATAATATAGAGAAGATTTTCCAAAAAGTCCCGAAATGGGCCTGATGTGTTAAATGGGTTTTAAAACATTTTCAAAAATCACTTGCAAGCTTCACAGTGGGATTTTTTTACTAACTTTTTAAAACTGTCTACAGCGTATAATTTTTAATCTATTTGAGTGTTCTTTGTTTTAAATTAAAGGGTCTACGCTGTAGACAGTTTTAAAAAGTTAATTGTAAAAAAAATCCCTCTGTGATGCTTGCAAGTGATTTTTGAAAATGTTTTAAAACTCATTTAACACATCAGGCCCATTTCGGGACTTTTTGGAAAATCTTCTCTATATTATAAGGTATAAATAAATTTAAAAAAAATAAAAAAAAATCCGGTCCAAAGTTAAAACAAATTAATTTGTTTATAAAAAAAAAATTTTTTTAATAAAAAATTAAAAAAAAATTTTTTGTTTACATTTTTTAAAAGTCAAAAATTTCGAAAATTCATAACTCGAAAATTTGGACAATTAAACAAAAATAAAAAAAATACGTATCTGTTTTTTTTTCGATACAGAATAGAAAAAAAATATTTTTGGCAAATTTTAAGAGGTTGACTAAAATCTCACGTGAAATTGCCCATATGTTTCTTCTGTTATTAATTTTCTTTGAGGTATTAAATTAAAGGTCGGTCAAATGTAATTAGTATCGATGTAATTAGAACTATTCTAGTCTCATTATTAATTATTCTTTTTACTTTAACATTAAATTCACTAATTAAAATTCTATTTAAGGTCCTTCAAAAAGGGGTCAAATTTTTTATCATTTCTAATAGTGTCAAAATTTGTGAAGTGAGCCACCATTTTTGGATAGGTGAGTATTTTCTATGATTTTAACTTTTTTTCTACTCTATACGATAAAACAAAAATACAAGTTGAACAGTTTTGCGAAATTTTAATTTTTACAATAGTTATTGTTAATAACATTTTTTTGTCCGAATTTCGAAATTATTAATTATCTATGGTTCTATAAAAGAAATCTATTTGAGTTTTGGAATGGATAATAAGGAATAATACTACTTTTGATTAATATTTGTCAAAATATAAAATTTTAAAAATTGTGAAAATTATAAACAATTTATTTAAACAATTAAAAATATTTTCATGTTCTCCCAACATTTTAAAAAACTTTTTTATTGAATATTACTCCTTATTTAATCACGAATAATTAGAAAAAAAGAAAAGTGAGTATTCTTAATTAGGTAAAAAGTTATTCAGGTTTTTCTCTGAGCGCACTACGCGCCATGCGTGACAGGCGTAAACGTCGCACAGTGGGATTTTTTTACAATTTAATGTTCAAAAATGTCTACAGCCTACAATTTTTGAACGATTTGAGTGTTCTTTGATTTAAATTAAAGGGGAATAAATTCTTTAGACATCCCTCAAGGCTGATTTTTAAAATTTTAATTGTTTATAATTTTTTAGTTCAATTAAACTTAACAAATTAATAGGGGAATGTAGTCAAGGTTGGTCTACTGTCTAGGTAGGCCATCGCGATTTTTTGGACAAGTTCACTAGCGCCACCTACGCGCATGCTTGTCGAAGCTTGTCTTAGTGTAACCTAACTTTTTGTTCCATTACATTTTCAGAGAATCGAAAGTAGTGTTTTCTGTGACGTCGGTACAAAAAAAGCTCAAAAAAAGTTTTGTGCATAATGTGAAAAACCATTAATAAAATATAAAAAACAAATTGAATCGTCAAGGCAAGTATGCAGAAAATTTGTAAGACTCATGGTTGAAAGAAAAACAAAGTAAAAAATCGAATCCCGAAACGTATTTCTTTATGGTTACAACAATTCGGTAATGTTACTTACTGTCAAGGTCGGCCACTATGTGTTTAAAATGCGCAAAGATGAGGACGAGCTACTTCATTTGCAAAAACTGCAATTCTGTATAACTCATAATATAATTGATCATCTTATTAATATTTTTATTTAATTTTATTAATATTTTAGTGCAAAATTTTTTTTTATTTATATTTATTTTTTTATATTGTTTATTTTTATTATTTTGTTATTTCATTAAGTTACAAACTGTAAACAATAAAGAATCAATTTTCCGTAACTCCAAACATGTTATTTTATTTTTTAACGATTAATGCCCTTTGAATTTCAAACATGGCCGACCTTGACTGTAAGGACCAACCTGGACTACAAATTTTTTTTTTTTAATCTTTATAACTTTTTCATTTTTAAACCTGTCAATTTACTTTGTACAGAAAAAATGTTCCTATTAAACAGGACTTTCCAACCATATACTTCAATTGTCCAAATTCATTTTTTAAAAAAAGTTATAAACAAAAGTCAAAAAGGTGGCCGACCTAGACTATGTTCCCCTACAATTTTTTAAAAAAGGACGTTTATTTTCTTATTCTTATTGTAAAGAATATATGTCCTCCTTGTTTAAAAAAAACTTTTTTAAATTGTTATAAACATTGTTAATTAACAAATAGTTAATTTTTGTTCCTCTCCATTAAAAAAATGTTTTTTTTACGTTTTCTTTTCTATTTATGTTCATTTAAAGAATATGTGTTCTCCTTGTGTAAGAAATAACATATTTAAATTGTTATAAACAATATTAATTAACAAATAGATAACTTTGATTCCTCTCCATTAAAATTTTTTTTTCATGTGTAGTCTTTTATTTAGATTCATTTAAAGAATATAAAAATATAAGTAGGGGAGAGTCTCCAGTTGTGAGACAGTCAATTTTTTTTAACATTCAATATTAAAAAGCCGATTGGTTTATATAAAAACATTTCTTTTTATATGAGCCAACTTTTTCGTGAACGCCGAAGCGGATATATAAACTGTTTTTGTTAAATACCAACACTGTGTGTGATAATCGACTAAAAAGCGTTTTTTCAATAAATGCAAAGTACTTTTTGTCCAAGTTAATTAATTGGAAAAGGTAAATGTAATGCATTTTCTTTTAGTGTTTTCCTTATATTTTGTGATGCAATATTGCATTGTTCCAATCTACGGTTGGAAATAATTTAATTTTCCTTTTTCAAAATAGCTCCAATTTCTGGGTGTGAGACACAGCATATCACCAGTTGTGAGACGGTGTCAACACCCATCTAGGCAGCATAAAAAATACGAATTTGCAGACATATTATTTAAATGTTGTTTTAATTTTTTTTCTAGTATTTTTGGGCATATCAAGTGGAAAAAAGTCAATTGATTCAGAAGAAATCAATTTTAATGCTCTTGTTGAAGCTATTAAATTGTGTTTATTTGATAGTCATATTTTGACGAATAAATATTATTATTAAGTATATAATAATATATATTATTAATATATTTAATTATTTCTACTAAACATAACGTTTTATGTCAAACTTATTAAATTTTAGCAATTTTTAATGAGTGTCTCACAACTGGAGACATTTTTTTTTTGAAAAAGCGATGTGCTCGGAAAATGTATCGTAAAATTTTTTGAGTTCATCGAAACACTATACTTTCTTTTAATAAAAGTTGCGTATTTCTGTTACCTTTCGAACGGTGTATTTTATTTACAATTTCGTTTACCCGTTTACAATTTACGGGTCAAAAATAAAACCTGTCTCACAACTGGAGACTCTCCCCTATAAGTACTTATTTTAACTTTGTAAACATCATATTTAAAATAAGTAGTTATACTTACATTCTTATATTTTTTAAATGGACCTAAATAAAAAAACTACACGTGGAAAAAAATTGTTCAATAGAGAGGAATCAGAGTTATCTATTTGTTAAGTAATATTGTTTATAACAATTTAAATATGTTATTTCTTAAACAAGGAACAACACATATTCTTTAAATGAACATAAATAAAAAAGAAAACGTAAAAAAAATGTTTATTGGTGAAGAGGAACAAAAGTTAACTATTTGTAAATTAACAATGTTTATAACAATTTAAATAAGTTTTTTTAAACAAGGAGTACACATATTCTTTACATGAACTTAAATAAAATTGGATTAATTTGAACTGATTTAGATCATGTGCAATAACGGAATAAGAAACTAAACTTCCTTTTTTAAAAAATTGTATTAATTTGTTTAAAACAAAAAATTATAAGCAATTCAAATTTTAAAAATCGGCCTTGAGGAATGTCTAAAGAATTTATTCCCCTTTACTTTAAATCAAAGAACACTCAAATCGTTCAAAAATTGTAGGCTGTAGACATTTTTGAACATTAAATTGTAAAAAAATCCCACTATGCGTCCCGGGACGACGTTTACGCTTGTCACGCATGGCGCATAGTGCGCTCAGAGAAAAACCTGAATAACTTTTTACCTAATTAAGAATACTCACTTTTCTTTTTTTCTAATTATTCGTGATTAAATAAGGAGTAATATTCAATAAAAAAGTTTTTTAAAATGTTGGGAGAACATGAAAATATTTTTAATTGTTTAAATAAATTGTTTATAATTTTCACAATTTTTAAAATTTTATATAATGACAAATATTAATCAAAAGTAGTATTATTCCTTATTATCCATTCCAAAACTCAAATAGATTCCTTTTATAGAACCATAGATAATTATTAATTTCGAAATTCGGACAAAAAAATGTTATTAACAATAACTATTGTAAAAATTAAAATTTCGCAAAACTGTTCAACTTGTATTTTTGTTTTATCGTATAGAGTAGAAAAAAGTTAAAATCATAGAAAATACTCACCTATCCAAAAATGGTGGCTCACTTCACAAATTTTGACACAATATTTATTTTTATATTTAGTATATCACCAATTTTATAATTAATAGGGTGACATTTCTCCTCATAATAATGTTCGTTTTTTCTTTTAAATTTTTCCAAGTTTTTACGAGCCAGTGACTAGACGTTATTTAATTTATGAAAAATTTCTTGGAATTATTGTTTATAAGTTTTATCGGGTAATTCTTGTAAGAAGCTTCTGAATTCCGGCTTCTCTTCCAAAGACTAAAGTATAATGTGCGAATCGATTTTTTTTTAAATTTTAAATTAATATATGGGCAAATCTCTGAAAACTTTAACATTTGAATTTGAATTTTTTTAAAAAAATTTTTGTGAGCACAATTTTGATATTTTTAGTATTACATCTTCGACCAAAATAAATTTCATTTTTATTACTGTACAACCATTATTTGGTTGCCTTCTATTTTAAAATATAAATTTTTGGAAGGAAAATAATGTTAGGTTATCTAAATCTGTAACAAGATATACATAAACATTTTATCTCCTACACTTAAGTAAGTTATTTCTCAGTATCACAAAAACATAATTAAACATGAAAATAAATATAATAAACGTCTAATGCAACTAATAAGGACAAAATTACAATAAAAAAAATTAATGAAAATTTTTTACGTATAATTATTTGAATTAGTAACATGAACTTTTCTAATTATTTGATTGGCTGAATTGTTTTGAAAAAATATCGAGGATCTTAATATAACCTTGAAAAACACTAACAGTTTTATGAACGTTTAATAAATAATAAATAAATATTACTTAAGTGCCTTCCATTGATAAATTTTTCATTCCGCGTTTCCTTTTTCTCGCTTTTTATTTTCTTTTCTTTGATTTTCTTTCATTTTGCCACTTTTTATTACATTTTTGGTTACTTCGTGATAAATAACATGGAACAAATAAATGCGAAACTTCAGATTGATTGGAAAACGATTGATTTGACCAAGCTACATATTTGACGAACGACAATTTGAATATCCACGTAAAAAAAATAATTAAATAAGAATTAGAATAAATAAAAACATATGCACAGTTTTAAATACATCTAAAGTAATATGTGCCCCAATTTTGGAGCAAATTAAATAAGAAACTTTGGAGAAATTAATGATTTGACCAGCGACATATTTTCCGTACTACACCAGTATCACAAGTATCCAACAATTATTTTGCTTAAAATATAGTTGAAAATAAAAATAAAAATCACGCACATAAAATTTGAATTACAATTCAATTGTGCCTCTTATTTCAAATTTTTTCATTTAGTTTTTTAATGTTTATTTTATAAAACCATTTTGATTTGACCAGCGACACAAAAACTGAGGGACACTTTTTAGAAGATTATATCTTTTCTAATTTTTACTTTTTATTTTTTTTAAGTTTGTTTATGGAATTCTTAAGATATTTTTAAATAGTTTATAACAGTAAAAAACGTGTTTTCCAAAAAAACTTTATTTAAACAGTTAAAATACCTTTAGAAAAAGTGAAAGTGACACTTGCAAAATCATGGTATTGTGAACTTTAATAAAGAAAAACATAGAAAAAAAAACAAAATAATTTATATCAATGGTTAAATCGTAATCCTTATTTTCTTTTTTAAAACATGTAAATATTTAAAAATCATTAGTTTTTATATTTAGGCTGTTTAAGTGAAAATAATGTGAGGGACTTAAAGGTTAAAAGTTCCAGAGATTCGCCCATATAGTTTGGTTTAAGTCATTAAAGAAATATATATCTGATGTGCTTCGAAGAAAGGTACCTAAGAAGCAAATCATCAAGGTTTTGTTTGTGTTATTTTTACCTTAATTAAAAGTTTCTGTTTAATTAAGTAAAATTAAAATCAGTTTTTTGAATTATTTAAGATGTAACAAAGACTAAAGCATCAGTATTTTACATTAAGAATTGATTTTCTTTTGCATTTTTATTATAAAATTTACAAACAAAACCTAAATTTGTTTGCACCTCAAGTACCTTTCTTCGGAGAGCGTCACATATTTATTAATATGGTACATATTTATTTACTTTATTATCATAAAAGTTTAGTATTTAAGTATATTTAAAAATTTTAATTTTCAGCATTCAAATTTACTTGAAATTTATCTAAAAGAATCTTTAAATATATATATATTTTCTTTATTTTTTCAAATTATGAACATTACCAAATAACTTAAATATAAAGACTAAACAAATAATTTTTATGTTAATTAGAATAAAATTTCTGTACAAAATCATGTAGACATATTTGTAATTAAATAATTGCACGAACACTTATAATTATACAATATTTTTATACACAAATTTATGTTCTTATATGTATCTCGAATTATAGCAATAATATATAATTTAAAAAATACTCTGCAAAAATCAAGTTTAGCATTTTTTTCCATTAGCTCGAAATAAAAGCGATAATATTTTTTAAAAGTGCCAATTCTGTGTATGTAAATAATATTAACGATTTCATTAACATATTTATGAAGTAATTTAAAAAATAATTAATCTTAAAAAGATTCGCAGATTGACTGTTATAATTAAGATAGACTTTCAAGAAAAACATGAGTGAAAATTTTGAAAACAATGTGATTTAAATATAGTTCATAACGAAAAACAAATATGTACAAATAAAAGCTATTTTTAAGAATAAGAATTATTCAAAATTAGAGGAAATTATATTTATGGAGGTGTCAACTTAATTTCTTGACTTGAACAATTTTCAGAAGATGAAGAATCTTCTGAATTCACACTACTATTTTTCACTTTTAAATCCCTCTGATTATCGTTTGCAAAAATTTTAATTTCATTTGGAGATTTCCAATTATTTAATTGACTCTCTAGTTCTGACCATGGATTTTCAAACATTGATTCAAAATCTAAGTAAGCAGCAATGTCCACGCTTTTCTGAGAATTAGTTCGAAAATTCTGAAACAATAAAACACATCAGTTTTTTACCTATACAGAATTCAAAAATAATAAAATGTTTTGTTATGATTAATTTATAATTTCTAATTAATTAAAATATTGAATAATATAAAATGAAATGTAAAATATAAAAAACCAATCAGTTTTTTTTTCATTTTTACAAGTGATTTGTACTGCTTTTTAAAAATATTTTTTATTTGTCAATGAGTAATTTTTTAGTGTCTTCTCAATTTAAAAATTTTCTTTTAATATGAAAAGTAATTTTTTGGTAAAAATCTTCGTGCATTTCGTCATCTCAAAAAATGCGAAAATATTCTCCGGAAGTATTACATTTATTTAAAAAGGTCAAAAATATATTAGGCGAAGTAAAATGGTTTGACCCGAATAATTATTCAGATGAATTAATAAATAAACGAATATGAAAAAGAATTGTAGAAATTAATAATTAATTTATTAATTAATATATTGGACTAATTTCATTGAATTAGAATTTTAATCAGGGTTGCCACGCTTTTGCTCATTTCAAATTCCCTGACTTTTACAGGTTTTCCAGGTTAAAAAACGGAATTTTTCCAGGTTTTTAAAACTACATTTATATTTTACAAAATTTTTAATTCTAACCTTTTTGAAATTAAACAACTTATAAAAAATTGTTATAAAACATGAAAATATCGATCACTCCGAGTCTTCGACTCGGAGTAATCGACATCTTTATTTTTTATAGTAATTAAAGATGTTCGAGAGATAAAATAATTATTTTATACCTATTATTATTATAAGAATATTGTTACTGTAACTTATTCAAAATTACTTTCATTATTTTAATTCAATTATTCTTTTCCACAATTTTTAACTAAAATTCTTCTTTATAAAGTGTAAATTAATTATTATTAATAATTTCTGAAAAATTTCTTTCAACATTTTCAAATCCTTTTGTTTACAATTCAATTTTACGAAATTTCATCGATTATTCAGGTATTCGGAAATTCTTCAATCAAATATATATTAGAAAATAAAAACTTTAAATAACTTCAAAAAAATTCAATTCAACTTTTACAAAAAAATTAAATCTACACAATTTTAAGTTAAAAGTATGAAAAATTCAAACATTCAAAGATTATAATTTGAGACCTGCTTTTCAAAACTCAATTATTATCTAAAGTTTTAACTGAATTTCATATTTCAATCAATTATTATTAGAAAATTCTACGACAATTCAATTATTTAAATACAAAAAAAATAACTTATTGAAGAATTCAATGTTTTTTAAAATTCAACTCTCATTTAAAGAATTTTATCAACAAATTTTCAAATAGGTAATTAAAATTCTTTTCACGAATTTGAATAAAATTTCTAAGAATAATTTCATTTTTTGAGAAATTGGATTAAAAATGTACCAAAAATAATTGAATCTCTGTAAAAAAATTCCATTGAATTGAGAAAAGTTTTTAAAAATAATTAAAATTCTGTCAAGAATTTTATTAAAATTTTTTTAAATAATTGAAATATTGCCAAGAATTTTATTAAAATTTTTGAAAATAATTGAATTTTAGAGAAAAATTTTAATATTTATAAAAATAATTGAAATTTTGACTATAACTTTTTTTAAACTTTTGACCATAATTGAATTTCTGCTAAGAATTTTATTACTTTTGAAAATAATTGAATTCTTGAGACGAATTTTTTAATAATATTTCTTTTTTAAATACCTAATTATTTTTAATACAAAAATAAATAATTTATTGAATAATTTATTGAATGTTTCTCAAAATTCAATTCTCATAAAGAATTTTATTAACAAATTTTTAAATAATTGAATTCTATTGACGAATTTTAATAAAATTTTAAATATAATTACGTTTTTCGAAGAATTCGATTAAAATTGTATAAAAAATAATTGAAATTCTGCAATGAGTTTTATTATCTATGACAATAATAATTGAATCCCTGTAAAAAATTGTATTACATATTTATAAAAATAATTGAATCTGTGTCAACATAAATTGAGTATTTTTGAAAATAATAGATTTATTGCGAAAAAATTTATAAAAAATGTTTAAAATAATTCATTTCTTTTGAAAAATTTTATTAAAATAGTAGATATTGAAAATCATTGACTGGAAGAGAATTTTTGAAAAAAATTGAATTTGTTAAAAAGAATTTCATTAAAATTTTTGAAAATAATTGAATTTTGGAGAAAAATTTTAATATTTATAAAGATAATTGAAATTTTGACGATAAATTTTTTAAACTTTTGACCATAATTGAATTTTTGCGAAGAATTTTATTACTTTTGAAAATAATTGAATTTCTTTGATGAATTTGAATAAAATTTTTAAAAATAATTATAAATTTTTCGAGAAATTCCATTAAAATTGTATTAAAAATAATTGAAATTTTGCGATGAGTTTTATTATTTATGAAAATAATTGTAAATCTTTAAATTTTTTGATTATTTATGAAAATAATTGAATTATTGCGAAGAAAAATTGTAAAGGCAACTCTTTTAAAATTGAATTAAGAAAATTGAATGAAAGAAAAATTAGATTTCAAGAATAAGCACAATAACTTCAGAAAACAATAATTTTACAGGATTCCAATCAAAATTCCCTGACTTTTTCAGGTTTTTTCAAGGTTTATAAAAATTCCCTGACATTTCCAGGTTTTTCAGGTTTCCAGGTTGCGTGGCAACCCTGTGCAAAGAATTTTACTATTTATAAAAATAATTGAAATGTTTCGAAGAATTTATTAAAATTTTTAAGAAATAATTAATTTGTTATGAAGAATTTTATAGAAATATTTGATAATAATGAACCTTTTTCAAGAAATTCAATTAAAGTTGTTTCGAAAATATTATTGAATTCCTTTTAAGAATTTTATCTGATTTTATTAAAATTAAGTATATTCAAAATAATTGAATTCATCACAAGAATTTTAATATTTTTTGAAAATAATTCGAATTCTTTCAATTTTTTTGACGAATATATTAAAAAATTGCATTGAAAGTACTTTAATTTATATAAATAGAATTTTTTAAAAATGTTTTGAGAATAATTTAATTATTTTCAGAGAATTTTAAATTCTTGCTGAAATTGAATTTTATGGACATTTTTGAAAATAATTATATTCTTTCGTGTAATTTTATTTAAATTTGATTAAAAATAATTTAACTTCTGCAGAGAATTTCACTACATATTTATAAAAATAATTGAATTTTTTCACAAAGGATTTATTAAAAATTTGAGAAAAAAATTGAATTTTTTCGAAATGTGTTAATAATTTTTTTAAAAATTGGATTCTTTCGAGGAATTCAATTAAAATTGTATTGAAAATTATTGAATTGTTGTAAAGATTTTGCTATTTAAAAAATAATTGAATTGTTTAGAAGGATTTATTAAAATTTTAGAAAATATAATTGAATTCTTTCGTGAAATTTTATTAAAATTTTTGAAAGTTATGAACAGTAATAATGAACGCAACCTGAATTAATATTCGGACATTTATAAAAGAAATTCAAGTTACTACACTCAGTGAAATAAAATGAAATAAAGTATTTGTCGTCACTTTATTTCGACAGACGCTTGCAGTGAAATAAAATTTGAGGTTAAGTCGTTATTGTCAGCACTAAACTGAAAGAATATGAAGTTAATAATTACCTGTCTATTATAATTATGCTTGGGAGTACTATAATAAGCAGAATATGGACTACTCTGATTAGAGATTGGACTGCTGTAATAATTTGTTGCCCTGTTCCTATAACCAGATGAATAAACTGATCCTGATCCTTGCCAACTACCACTATTACTTCTCTGCGACAAAGGCGAACTTGTATCGAGTGGAATGTAATCACTTCCACCACTTGACTGCGAATTATCTTGCCTATTAATAACCTGATAATTCATACCACCCTTCAAAGTATCGTAATTATTTGAATTTTGATACTGTCTGTGTCCATAAGGACTTCGAATATGACGATTTTCACACCTACTTAATGGAGATTTTTTCATTTTTAAATTCTTAAATTCTTTACCCAACACGGTACAAGAACACAACGCAATTACTATATAAAAGAAAATTAACAAAATTAACACGTATATATAGTAGATTGAAACGAAAATTTCCAAGTGCACAATGTTAAACAAATTTTAAATAAATGAGTAAATGAGTTTACTTATTTGGTGTAAACAATGCAATGACAAGAACGACAAGAACGACAAGAACAGACAAGAATAAGTGAGGTTAGAAGCTTAAGGGGGCTATCACAAGCTCTTATTCATCGACATGAACATGAACTAAACATATCTATGACGCGATCATGCAATCAAAAAAAGGTGGACCAACATAAAGGGATTTCTACAATACTTTTTTTCATTGTCAGGCGGTGTTTACATGCTTACCTGCATGCAAAAGTTTTGCATGCGGAGGTCTGAACGCTCCCTGATTTTGACATTTTTTCGAAATTTTTTTTCTACAGACAGTCGTATAAATGCACCCTCACTTTACATTATCTTTTTCTAAATACGGAAAATGTAGAGAGAGACAAACTTATGCCTCTGTCATAGGAGAGAGAAAGACAAGAATGATTTTTCCAAAAGTCGTGTGATTGTACCCTTAACATCACACGATTTACAGACAGGCGTTGTGAAGAGACACTTATGTATTGTTTTCAGAATTCAATTGTTGAACATGTGACTAGATACTAATACTATCCGTGCTTTATGTTTTGATTCGAAGGTGTGGCCCTATTTTCATTTAATAAATATATATAAATTCCTACATAACCTACAATGATCATTGTTTTATTTCTATTTTATCTACCGTCTATAAATTGCGATATGTTTACAGCTGTTTATCTGTAAGATGGCAGTGATTTTGATGAAGACATTCTTAAAAAGTGAAATCTGACCATGATTTTAGTGCGCAAAAGTCACAGATAGGCCCACAATGTCAAGCTGAATAAATGTACATATATTTTTCTAGCAAACTTGTTGTTTTGTTGCAATAGTGACGTTTTTTAGTGATTAAAAATGCGATCGCGATGGGCAATTTTGTATCCCCTGCTTTTATCGAGTCATTCAATATTTGTTTTGCATTGAATTTAGTGGATGGAACATGAGAAATATGTAACCGGTGGGAGGAAAAAGGGTACGAGCGAGAAATGTCAAGTGCCGTCAATGGTTTTGTTGACGTTTTCCACCAGTGTGTGAGTTATGACACGGTCTCATAGTGCTTGCATGTCTCTTGTGTAGACAATTTTTAAGGAAGGAAAAAAGCTGGAGTCGTCGTCGATTGGGGAGTGGTTTTTTTTTGTGCTTTTATGTGTTGCATTTTTTGAAAATAAAAAATAACGATGGGGCTGGTACAAAGCAGAGGAAGCAGTGAGAATGATGTCAGTGCGCGCGAAATATTTGCCGGTAGTATAAAAAGCGCTGGACAGCCTTCTTTAGGAATGGGGAGTCTGGGTGGACCTCACGCCCGAAGCGGCAGCGTTCGGTGTGCACCAAGACAACCAATGCCGGATGCCGTCGAACTCGAGAGGCGCTTCACTAAAGTATTGGTGAGTAATTTCTTCCTCATTTCATTTTATCACTTTTAGATTTGTTTTTGCATGGCGAACACCCAATTTCTCTGAAATAATTAATTCTGCAACATATCTATATAGATAACTCTAAATTTTGCCATCGGAATTTTAAAACTCATGTCATATTCATATTTTTAGAAATTTTTAAATTTGTTTTCACACATTTTTCTTTTTACAGGTAAGAAATATTGGAACTTTTATTTTACTATAATAATCCAGTCGCCCCAAGTTTTCTCGTGGCAAAATTGGTACCTGACTTTTAACTCTGCATTCAAATAGTGTGGGATGGTATAATGAATTTGCATATAAATATATGCGAACGTCCGCATGAAAAGGACCCATTTCGGTACTATTGGACTTATTTAAATGAGCGAATTACTTGCAAAATTTGGAAAATTTTCAAAGATCTTTACGCTTTACAATGTTTTCCCCGGTTTCCCCTCTTTTCCTTTATTTCGAAAAATTACCTTTTTTATCAATACTAGCAACAATTGTAATTAATTATTTTAATTAACATCTTACTCACCTTTTTTTAAAAAACAAAATTAGCAATTTTGAAAATAATAAAATAAAAAAATTTTTAATTCAAATTTTGTTTCATAAAAATAAAATATGAATTGGAATATAGTTTTAATATTAATATAACTATAATAATCATATATTCTGATACAGGGAATTCAGGGAAAAGTCAGGGATTTTTATTAAAAGTACTGAAAAAAATTAAATTTTTAGAATTCATAAGAAAATTCTCAATTTTTGTGTCTTTTTCGTTTGTTTCATAAATTATGAATTTACCACGAATTCTAAACAAAACCTTCAATTTTTTCTATTTCTGACAATAATTGAAGGGCTACATAAAATAAGGGGACGAACGCGAGGCTTGGAAGGGATAGTACCAGTCGGGTAGCAGTGACAAGCCTTGAGCCGCTCGCTGCTACCTGACTGATATTATCCCTTTCAACCACGCGTTCGTCCCCTTATTTTATGTAGCCCTTCAATTTCTTTTTTAATGACTTAATTCTTGAAGAATTATCATAAACTTATTATTTATAAATCATTTAATGAATTAATTTTACTTAAATATTTCAAAATTGATTGAACTTTAAAAGAATTGCGTTTACAATTTTCATAAATAAATTAACTTCAAAAGATTTGAATTATTAAAATTTTTTTAAATTTCAGTTATGAATTTAATTAGAAATTTTCAAGAACTTAGATTTTTGAAAAATTTTAATAATTCAAATTCTTCTCAAATTAGTTAAATTTTTTAATATATATTTAATTAATTATTAAAAATAATGGATTTATAGAAGAATTTTAGTTAAAAACCCCAAAAAAAATTGATTAGTGGAGAAGATACAAATGATTACAGAAATTGAATTATTTTCAAAAGTAAAAAAATTCGTCACAGAAATTCAATTATGTTAAAAAATTTTTTTTAATTCTCGTCAAAATTTCAATTATCTTTAGGATAAATATTAAAATTCTTCTCTGAAATTCAATTATTTTCAAAAATTTTAATAAAATTCTTGACAAAATTTCAATTATTTTCAAAAATGTTCCTCAATTCAATGATTTTCAATAATATCTACGATTTTAATATAATTTTCCGAAAGAATACAATATTGTTCAGAAAAAATTCGATAATATTCTTCGTAAAACTTCAATTACTTATAAAAATAATAAAAATTTAACATGAATTCATTTGACAAAGTCTTAAATTTCTTCGCAATAATTCAATTATTTTCTTAAATAATAAATTTTTTTTAGGGATCTAATTAATTTAATAAATAATATAACTCATCGCAGAGTTTCAATTATTTTTAATACAATTTTAATCAAATTCCTCAAAAAACGTAATTATTCTTAAAAATTTGATTAAAATTTTTCAAAAAAATTCAATTATTTAAAAATTTGTTGATAAAATTCTTTATAAGAATTAAATTTTAAAAAACATTTAATCATTCAATTAATTATTTATTTTTACATTTAAATAATGGAATTCTCGTAAAATTTTCTAATAAAAATTAATATAAAAATTGATTTAAAAATGAATTCTAGTTTAAATTTTAGATAATAATTGAATAGTAAAAGCACTATAGCATGAATTTTTAGAAATAATTGTATTTTGAAAAGATTTCAAATTAAAATATTTGAAAATTTGAATTTTTCATACTTTTAACTGACAATTTTACAGAATTAATTTTTTTAAAGGTTTTATTTAATTTTTTTCTGAAATTATTTGAAGTTTTTATTTTTTAATATACCTATATATATTTAATCGAAGAATTTCCAAATAATCGAAATTCTCAAAGAACTTTTTCAAAAATTATTAAAAATCTAGTTGATTTAGAGAAGAATTTTAATTAAAAATTCTAGAAAATAATAATTAAATTGAAATGATGAAAATAATTTTGAAGAAGTTACAGTAACAATATTCTTATAATATAAAATAATCATATTATCACTCGGTCATTTGAAATTTTTTAAAATCTTAATTCCTACAGTAATTTAATAATTTTTTAGTAAATTCAGGGTGTCCAGTGGTCAAGGAAAGCATGGAAAAGTCGGGGGATTTTTTCGGTCGGGGAGAAGTTAGTGAATGTCAGGGAGTTTCATTAAAAGTCAGGGTTTCTATAAATTTATAAAAAAAAATAAAAAATTTTGCAATTTAACAAGACTTAAATGGTTTTTTTATTACTACTATTTGTTGTTTTCACTTGAGAATTAACTCTTATTTCAACGAATTTGGAAAGCTTATGAAATTCTGCGTCAGATAATCTTTGGGCAATGTTTTTTTAACATTCCAAAGTTGTATTAATAGATAATTTATTATATTTCGATATATGTTCAACTGGTTGTCTAATTTACAAAAATGGTAGGGAAAATTTAGAATTTAGATTATTGTCTTCGCAAAATTGTCAGCTTTCATTTGAGCCATAGAAACTTAAAAAATATTTATCGTAGATCGTCGTGTTCCTTCAAATTACAGTTATGGAGTTTAGGAGACACCTATTCAGCCCTGAGGAGACGAAATAGGAAATTGAACTGACCGAGAAACGCAGCGAACGACGACTCATTGATGAGAAAAACGTTCGCGGACATTTTTAGTCATATCTCTAAAACTAATTAATATTGTTTAAGTTTCTATGGCTCAAATTATTAATGCTGTCAATTTGAAGAAAAAAATATAAATTTTCAAATTTTTTTATTATTTTTTCACATTCATTAATACAGTGGAACGAGTGGAACTTCGATTTTCCGTCAGGCACGGGACCAACACCTTGACGGAAAACCAAAATTACGGATAGTCGAAGTTACAAGTGATTTGAGATGTTTATAACCTATACTTGTCTATATTTTGGACTTTAACATGTAAACAAACAATTTTACAAAACAATTACACAATTAGTTTAAAATTTGTATTAAAAAAAACGTAACATCTTATTTTTTTATTTAAAAAAGCCGAAAATAGATTGAAGAAAATATCTAAACAGTAGGAAATTAGAGTTTATGGCTGCTTAGATATTTCTCTTCAGAGAAATATATTGGAATGAACTTGCAAAGTCAATTTTTTAAATAAAAAAAAAAAAAAAATGATCTTGGACAGTGACGGATAACCGCGATGACGATAGACCGAGAGACGGAAAATCGAAGTTCCACTGTAAATCACTAATTATTATTGAGAAAGGGGGTATTTTCGTGTCCTATTTTTAGTAAAAGTTTTAAGATTTTAAAATTAAATAAATTATATCTTTCTTTTATGTGAACACTTTTAACTATTACTACTGGAAATATAGAAAAAATCAACTGTGAGTAAAAACTAATGCATTTTTTGCGGGTCCTTTAAATTTAGTAGCTTCTAAAATGTGCATTGTAAGGGGGACACACTTTTTTCGAAATTTTTCAGTTTTTCCCGAAAAACCCCTTTTAAACCAATTCCAATGAGATTCTCTATTTCATAAAATATGCTCGCGAAATAACGTATGTGTACCCGGTGGTGGACATCTTTTCCAATCTATTTTTCCCACCAGATGAAATTTCCAGGCTATTATTTTACCAACGTATATTTTTTCCAAACTATTTTTTTCCCGCCGAACACTTTTTCCAAATTATTTTTTCCCCAAGAAACCTTTTTTCCAATGTTTTTTTTATTTTTCGCCGACTTCATATTAAACAACATTGTCACTTATCTTGGAGATTGTGGTTGGGTCAAAATTGTCTAGTATGTTTACATTCGTTTTGCATAGTTTTTTAATAGTTTTGTTAAATTAATAAGTTTGTATTTATAATGGCAAAATCAAAAAAAGCTCACAGGTCATTTATGCGTCAAAATCGAAAAACAATTGCTTACAATAGTTCAAAAATACCCGGAATATGTTGAATATAATGAAACGCTACAATATCTAAAAACTATTGGTTACTACGTACACTTCTAAATTTCTTAATTCATTAAATTGATTCGACAATAAATAGGTATACTTTAATCAAATTTCTAATTTTTGGTAATTTCTTCACTTTTGTAAAAATAACTATTGGGAAAAATTTTGGTTGGTAATTATTATAAAAGCATAAGTTTTAAAAATGTTGTCAAGTGTTAAAATTCACATTAAAAAGTATTTTTTAACTAACTAGCATAATGTGTCTGAGCGTATGGGGCATTCCACGCCAAGTCGGAAATCATTTTGCTTTTGCATCTCAAAATTTTTTTAAACATTTTTTTTCTTTTAGTACTCTTTGAAATAAGCTACCTTGATTTTTTGCAAATTTTTTCATAAAGCGGTTCAGGAGCTACAGATTTTTGAAAAATGACGTTTTTTACGTAAATTTTTTCTATTTATTTATTTAAAAAATTTTAATTTTTATATACGCAGTGGTGGCCAAATGACTAACTTGCCATTTGACCAAATCAAATAAATTTTTTACAACAAATGTGTTTTTAGACTGAGTCTCTCTAAAATTAACCTTCTTTCTGT